CTCAATAAGTGTATATAGAGTTTTTATTTTAAAATGTTAATTTAAAATTAGGGATGGACATGTGACATTCTTTTTGAGATGAAATGATATAGTAAATTATGAATTTTTGTTTATATATAATTGTGGATTAAACCCATTTCTTTTTCTGTCTCTAGCTACCCTTTTACATAGTTTAATTTGTCCAGATTTTTTTTTAACTTTTGATGTCTTTCACTTGATTCTCTTGTCCATTTAGTTCTTATTCCTAATTTGTCTACTTCGGTATGTTGTAACATAATCACTAAGATAATTTTTTCATTAGACTGCTAATATCTATCCGCTATAAGAAATTAAAACATGGGTAAATTTTCATAAACCCCAATAAGATCAGACATTTGATATTAAACCCCAATTAGCTTCAAACTCTCACTTAAACCCCCAATAATTTTTAGCAGAAAGCTCCCAAATTAAATTATTAGTTATTCAGTGGTCAAATAATGAAAATATCCCCAATAAATTTTGAAAGAAAACAGGCAATGAGTTTTTAGTTTTCTCTGTCAGCCCCCAGTAACTTTTGATGTATAACCCCTAATAATAATTGTTTATTATTTTCAGAGTTCTATATATTTTTTACATTTTAAGGATGTTTTTCTAATTTTTAGATTTTAAAAGGGTTTTTTGTGATTTTTATTTCTGTTGGAGCTATATGTAATATTTGAGTTTTTCTGGTAATTCTTTGTATTTTTTGAATTCTTATGATTTCCTTGTAATTTTTAGTTTTTTGAGGTGTTTTTTCATGATTATTAGATTTTTCAAGGGGTTATTTGTAGTTTCACATTTATTAGAGGGATGCTTATAATTTATATAATTTTTAGTGGTTTTTTTTAATTTTATGGGTTACTTTACAAATAAGAATGGCTTAAGAGGTTTATATTGGCATTAAGAGATAATGTTCATGGGTGTAACATTATGGGCTAATTTCCTATCTAGGATTAAGTGTAGAAAATCAAAATATTTTGGTGGAATTTTGAAACTCTAAAACTTACCTGGGGGCTTCAAATTGCAAGCCTAGTGTCAAAATAGATAAACTTATTAAAAGTTTAGTGAAATATATAATTTAAAAAATTACAGAGATCCATGTGATAATTTTTTGAAATGTAAGGCTAACAATAAACCATTGATCCCTTGTTTATATATAAAAGAAAAGATAATTAATTAAAAATGTGATTATTAGATTTTTTATTATGGGCAATTAAAAAGATTTAATAATATGATTATTTAAATTTCTAATTATGGATAATTATAATTTTATTAAGGATACCAAATATTTGATTATAATTAGAATTTTCTAATTTTAGATAGATTTATTTTGATAAGGACTATAATTATGGATAAAATGTTGGGAAAATTTCTTCTAGACCCCAAATTTGAACTTTCAATGTGTCCCAACCCCTCCTATTTTTTTTAATGTGCTTTAGCCCCTTTTTTTTGAAAAAATGCGCCCAATGCTCCTCCATCATGATTTCAGCTCATACCAGCAGTTGATTAGACATGCTAGCTCATGATTAGACATGTCAGCTGGCTTAAATCCCAAATTTACTCTCCTCTTTCTCATGCAAACAGATGTTAGCTTTTGTAGTTAACATGTTACCTCTTACAGCTAACATGTTAACTCTTTGGAGCTAACATGTTAACTCTTTGGAGCTAACATGTTAACTCTTTGCAGCTAACATGTTAACTCTTACAGCTAACATATTAACTCTTCTTAATGTGCCCACACGAAGTTCCTCGTGACGGCGCCGGCGGCGGAGCGGAGGAGGGGGGCAGAGGGAGACCGAAGGAGGAGGAGAGAGGTGTAGGGGGAGGTGCAGCGGGGGAGGGGGGCGAGGGAGGGGAGGGAGGCGGCGACG